CCAGGCTATTGCTACTGGTTGACCTTGCCTGTTTGATCTGACACCTGAAGTTACTTGTTCAGTGTCCTCTGAAAGACTTCACTTGTCCCAGCAGTGTAAGATGCTTAATAGTCTGGGGCCACGGATATTGATACTGTGCTAGCTTATTGTGTTCACGGCACCCCAGCTTTTCACTGGTTTATTTTGCACTTCCTCCCATGCATGTGATGGCAGTGTGCAGATTTGGGATAAGGCCCTCAAGTACTTTTCAGGTATATATTATAATCTCTCTCTCTCTCTCTCTCTCTCTCTCTCTCTCTCTCTCTCTCTCTCTCTCTCTCTCTCTCTCTCTCTCTCTCTCTCTCTCTCCTCTCTCTCCTCTCCTCTCTCCTCTCTCTCTCTCTCTCTCTTTTACACAGTTGAAAATAAGAATTTGGTAATTATCCTAGTATACAAACCACCATCGGTAACTGCTGAGGAATTCACAGATCAGTTAAGTAAGATAGATAGCTATCTGGATAGGCTAGAAAATCCCCCAACAAATATTTTACTCCTTGGAGATTTTGATCTCCCTCATGTAGAATGGAAGATGGAGCAACGCAATGTTATACCAGAAATATCTCCGGGAAGCACCCTGGCTCAAAAGGCACATACCAGGGAACTAATGAGGTTTTGTGAAAAGTACTCATTGAATCAACAGATAATTGATCCCACTAAAAATGAAAATACCCTAGATTTGATATTCACAAACAACGAGGAACTAATCAGACATAACAGTTACAGAAAACAGTATACTCTGATCACAATATCATAGAAGTATAAACGAGTATTAACTCGGGATTAGGGAACTGCGTCACTATTGTTACTGACGGGATGTTCAGTAAGTTTAATATTAACAACCATAAAGGAAAAAATAGGCCAAGAGCTATCAGATATATCCTGGGAATCAGACATGAGCGCCCTAAATTCCCACCAGTGCCTAAAGAAGCTGAATACAGCATACAAGGTATGTACGAAGCACCTACCATTGAGGAAACCCAGAAGAAGATCGGATATATAGAGAGAGCATAGATGGTACAAAGGAAAACGGGTTACTGAATTGGTTAAAAGCACAGATATGCTGCAACAGAGGAAATATAGTCGAGAGATCACTGAATTAGAGCAAAATCCAAGCTAAGAACTACCTGTAGAATTGGGCCATTTTTGAGAGATTCGTATACTGGCGATGAACAGGAAATGAGTGAAATCCTAAAAGAACAGTACGAGTCGGTGTTCAGTAACCCACTAAATGACAGCAAGGTAGAAAATGCAGAAATATTTTTCACTCCAGAAGAAGGCCGCGCAGACCAACTGACTGACATTAGTACAAATCCCATAGATTTCGAAATAGAAATGGACATCATGCCCACTCACTCAGCATCTGGACCAGATTGACGGAATACTCTATTTATAAAGAAGTGCAAAGTACCACTAGCACGAGCCCTCAGTATTCTTTGGAGAAAGAGCCTAGATCTAGGTGAAGTACCGGAGACCTTAGAGTGCAGACATAGCTCCTTTGCAAAAGGGAGGTAGTAGAGCACTAGCTAAAAATTAAAGACCAGTAGCCCTAACCTCTCACATCATAAAAATCTTCGAAAGAGTGATGAGACGGCAAATTACAAACCTCTTGGACCAGCATAACCCGAACCAGCATAGGTTTAGAGCAGGACGATCATGTCTGTCAGCTGCTGAACCATTATGACAGAATTACGGAGGCATTGGAAGACGACTAAAACGCAGATGTGATTTACACAGATTTTGCAAAGGCGTTTGACAAATGCGATCATGGAATGATAGCGCACAAAATGAAGGCCATGGGCATTACGGGGAAGGTAGGCAGATGGATTTTCGGGTTCCTAACACACAGAACACAAAAAGTAGTAGTGAACAGGGCTAGATCCAGTATCAGCGAGGTCAAAAGCTCAGTGCCCCAAGGTACTGTCCTGGCAGCTCTGCTGTGTCTCATCCTCATAGCAGACATAGATAAAAACACCCAGCACACTTTTGTATCATTTGCCGATGACACTAAAATAAGTATGAAAGTCACTACGGCAGAGGACACTGAAAAAGTACAGGAAGACATAAGCAGGGTTTTCCAGAGAGCAGTGGAGAACAACCTGACGTTCATTGGTGATAAGTTCCAGCTGTTTAGGTATGGAAAGAATGAAGAACTCAACAGGAACACTATAAACAAAACTCGAGAAGGTCAGCAAATAGAAGGAAAGGAACACGTAAAAGACCTGGGAATAATTATGTCAGCCGACCTTTCGTTTAAAGACCATAACAAGACAAAGATTACGACAGCCTGTTAGATGACGGGGTGGGTATGGAGAACTTTTAAAACAAGGGAAATAATGCCGATGGTGACACTGTTGAAATCGCTAGTGTTCTCTCGTTTAGAATATTGCTCAGTGCTGACGGCCCCGTTCAAAGCAAGAGAAATATCAGTGCTGGAACAAATACAGAGATCGTTGACGGCTCACATTGAGCCAATATAACACCTAAATTACTGGAAGCGCCTTCAGATATTGAACATGTACTCATTGGAGCGGAGGAAAGATACATGATAATATATACATGGAGAATACTCGAGAGCCTTGTCCCAAATATGTACACTGCCATAACAACATATTGGAATGAGATATATGGGAGGAAGTGTAAAATAAACCCAGTGAGGAGCAGGGGTGCGGTGGGGACAATAATGGAACATTGTATCAACACCCGGAGTCTTAGACTATTCACTATTTTACCAGAAGATATCAGAAACACAGCTGGAACAAATGTAGAAGTCCTCAAGAGGAAACTGGACAAGTATTTTCACCAGGTGCTAGATCAACTAGCCTGTGATGGATATGTGGGGCAGCGGGCCTCCAGCAGCAACAGCCTGGTTGACCAGGCAAGCGGCAGACGAGCCTGGCCCATGGCTGGGCTCCGAGAGTAGTCGGACTCTCGAAGCTCTTCAAAGGTATAAAGGTAGGGTTTCACAACGTTAGGTTAATTAAGGATCCCAAACTTTATTGACAAGCTGTTGATTAGTTAAGGATTCCTAACTTGGACAAGCTAAGAGCTGTTGCCTGTATTAGCTCATTTGAAAGCATTCTCATTGTTATGAAACCTACAATTACGGAACAGGATGAAGTTGGAGCCATCTGTGGGCCAGCATTTTCATTTGATCATCTGTCTCTCTCTCTCTCTCTCTCTCTCTCTCTCTCTCTCTCTCTTCTCTCTCTCTCTCTCTCTCTCTGTCTGTCTGTCTGTCTGTCTGTCTGTCTGTCTGTCTGTCTGTCTCTCCCTTTTTTTTACACAGGGTTTGACAAGGTTAAGGATTCCTAACTTTATTGGCAAGCTAAGAGCTGTTACCTACATCAGCTCATTTGAAAGCATTTTTATTGTTATGAGACATACAAGAAGGGAACAGGATGAAGTTGGAGCCATCTGTGGGCCAGCATTGTCATGTGATCAACTGACTTTATCTCATTGACATCATTATGCTGTACGAATGTGTTCCATACTCGAGTCATCCTGGGTATAAATGATCTCAGATGGAGTGATGTTCTGGAGAAGGGTACAGCCAGAGTGAAGTTGCTGCTTTCTGCCCGTCTTGTGGCATAAAAGCTTGTTTCACGCTGTCCTCGAAGTGGATCCAAGTGTGGTACTTTGACAATATTGGCCTTGTACATAACAGTAAGGCCACCCACATCCCTATGTTGAAGGCTCTGCTGAAATGACAGATCTATCCAGGATGGGTCCAGGCGAGAGATGAGACGTCTTGCTCTGTTCTCTACTCTGTCAAGCAGTCGCAGATGAGGGGGGGGCATGCAAACCAAGAAAGTGGAGCATACTCAAGGTGTGAGCGTACTTGTGCCTCGTACAGGATCTTGCAACCCCTACGGCGAAGTGCTGTAAGCTTCCTGGCTGCCTTGTTTGCAAGATTTACAACATGGTTCTTCATGGTTAGTTTTGGAGTCAAATTTCACCCCAATGATATCAACTTCTTCTCCAGGTGCCAACACCCTCCCATTCATCCTTACCATCCTTACTAGGCACCAGCATTACCATCGTGGTGCCTAGAGACGATCATCATTTGCGTTTTCTCAGGTGCAAATGTTTCTTGCCATCTATTTCCCCAAGCTGATATAGCTCTCAGCTGGTGATTGATGCAGCTTAGAGCAGCTGGCATTTCTTCTCTTGGATGAGTAAATGTCAGTGTACAGTCGTCTGCATATGCATGTGATTCTGGGATGAGATGAAGAAGGTCGTTGAAGTAGACATTCCATAACAATGGTCCCAGTACGCTTCCTTGTGGAACACTTGCCCCAATAAGATGTCTTGCTGATTCCGTTCCATTGAGAACTACACTTAGAGATCTACCATAAGGTAATCACTGAGGACACATAACATAGAGCCTGTAATTCCCAGTGCTTGAAGTTTTGCTAAGAGGCCCTGGTGCCACACCCGGTCGAAAGCGCCAGCAATGTCCAGTGCTCCCACACAGCTGACTTTGGATTCATCCAGTGACTGGTGCCACTTAGTGGAGAGGTTTAACAACAGATCAGCAGCAGAGTGACCTTTCCTGAAGCCATATTGACGATCACAAAGTAGTGAGTGGTAGTCAAAAAACTCTGTCATTTGTCTTGAGATTATTATTTTATCTCTCTCTCTCTCTCTCTCTCTCTCTCTCTCTCTCTCTCTCTCTCTCTCTCTCTCTCTCTCTCTCTCTCTCTCTCTCTCTCTCTCTCTCTCTCTCTCTCTCTCGGCTCTCTCTCTCTCTCTCTCTCTCGGCTCTCCTCTCCTCTCTGCTGTCCTCTCTCTCTCTCTCTCTCTCTCTCCTCTCTCTCTCTCTCTCTCTCTCTCTCTCTCTCTCTCTCTCTCCTCTCTCTCTCTCTCTCTCCTCTCCCCTCTCTCGGCTCTCCTCTCCTCTCTGCTGTCCTCTCTCTCTCTCTCTGCTCTGGTGCGTACAAATTTAGGACATTAAAAGAGCATTGTAAGACATAGGACTTTATGGCATTCCCAGTAATCTGTGTGTTTTATTTGATCTATGTGGTTCATAAACGATCTCGGTGTCTGTTCCAGCTGTGATCGAATCGACAAAAATACTTTCGTAGAACAGTCTATCCAAGAAAAATCTTGGAAGAGGTAAGAGTAAATAATGAGACAACTCGGGCAAGCACCGACCAGGCAAATACTGACCTATGGCCGGGCTCCGGGAGTAGAAAAACTGTCCGAACTCATCAAAGGTAAGATATATTCCTATGATTTAACAGTCAACACAGTAGTGACGGCATAAACTCCTGCATTTATCAGCAGAAGAAACATAAGTCTCTGAACTGATCATATTGTGGAGAACATTCTGTCATTGCCTGAATGTTGCAACATTGAAGACTTGAGTTGACATCTAGGTGTAAGTACTCTTTGGAGTACATAGTATTTATAGCGGTATATTTCCTCAATTTCCTGACTGAATCAGATAGTGACATAAAATCAAACTAAAACCAGAGAAGTCTGTCTTTATAAATTTGTTATTAATCTACCAGTTCCTTTATATTTTGTCACTATTAAAGGAAGATAGGAAGTAATAAATGTCAACGTTATCTTTAACAAAGGATGCTACATCTTGCTCTCAGTCGCGGTGGTTTTGTTCACCTGTGATGCTCAAGTTCCTCGGGCTCCAGGACTAACAGTATCTCCGTTTGGCTACTTTTACTCTTCTCTTTAACAGTACGTGTGTATATACGCAGAGTAGATGATTAATATAGGTTCAGTCAGGACAAATTTATTCAGACCAGCATGAACATTTCCCGGAAACTTGTGAGTACGTGTGCGCGCAGGTGTCAAATCTCTTGTATTGGTGTGAGAGCGCCTCAGTGTTGTGGCAACATCGCTCACCTCCAACCCCGTTACTGTGAACCCGTGCGGGTATTACGTACAAGCTGTGTGTCCCTTTTCCTGTTGTTAAAGATGCTGTCTTGATATGCATTAAATAATTATATTATAACGAACTTTCCGTGTCAGGTATATATAACTATAATGTCAGTCCAGCCGAGCCACAACGGCGCATTGCTGCTGCTGCTGCTGCTGCTGCTGCTGCTGCTGCTGCTGCTGCTAGTGTTACCGCGGCTTCTGATGCTGTTGCTGCGGCGGTGGCTTGTGATGTTGCTGCTGTAATGGCTTATGCTGTTGCTGCGGTGGCTTATGATCCTGCTGTGGTGGCTTAAGATGCTGTTGCAGTAGCTGCAGTGGCTATGGTGCTGCTGCTGATGCTTCTGCCGTGTCGGCGGTTTCTGTTGATGCTGCTGCTGTGTCGGCGGTAGCTTCTGATGCTTTAGTTGCCGTACTACTATTGCACTACTGTTGCTTCTACTATTTTTGTTGCTGTTATTGTAGTTGCTGTTGTTACTTGTGCAGCTATTGTCGTTGTTGCTTCTGTTGCCGCTATGTTACTACTACTGCTATTACTAATGTTGCTGCTGAAACTATTGTTGTTACTACTGTTGCAGTTGGTGGTGGTGGTGTTGCTGCTACCTGTCAAGATAAAGAAAAATTGTATTTGCAGACTTAGTGGAAACTTTAAGAAAAAAAAAATATTTTAACCACGTTAGAAAATTAAGGAAAAGCTAGGTTGTGTTGGCCGGGGTTATGTTGCATGTACCTTTTATATTCCTTTGTGGATTTCGAAAGTTTTGCTGGTGTAGCTCTCCCTTGGGTCAGGCTTGTCTGTAGCGTACCCTAGTGTAAACAGAAAGATTCCACCTTCCCCACGCTCGTTCCCTCCTTGCCAGTAGTCACTTCATATTTTGTAGGTTTCCACTGGGAGGCCTGGTCGTGGACCGGGCCGAAGGGGCGCTGATCCCCGGAATACCCTCCAGGTAACACTGCGACCTGGTCTCGAGCCACGTTTCTCAGTATGTTGTAATTATCTGAGACTGTTGCTCTTTGAAGATTGCGTGCCTGCGTACTTGTGTGACTGCCTACTTGGTCTACTGTTTTCTGTTTATTTTTACCCGTTTTCTGTTTTAGAATTTCCCACTGTTTCTTACGCTCTCTGGAATTACTTTGGTGTGTGTGATCGAGTAGTATGCACTCAGGTATATATATATATCAGCATATACTTCTAAAAGTTTGCGTTTCTGTGCGCACTGAAAGATGAGAATATCTATGTATATACTTCAATGTGTATGTATCTCTCTAAGCCCAGTCTCCTAATCAGAGTCAGTATTTCATCGTCTAAGACAGTCGGATGGATGACTTTGACAGGAACCTTAACAGTTATTATCTTTGATGCGACTGCATGTTGTCGTGGGCTCTCAATTTTTGATTGCGATGCAGTTTTTATTGCCTTTTATGTAATATTTTTTTGGACATGTGGTGTGTTATAATTAGTAAATTTGGGTAATAAACGAGTGTAACCAAACCTAACATAAATAACATAAATCGTTAGATTTGTTTAAAGAAGTATATTAGAAATCTTAAAAGGACGGGTTT